TTGTTTTAAGGTTCTGAGGAATATAATTTTAAAAAAAGATAATTTGATATCTTGTTTAGAATCTTAGAGTCATGGAAACCAGTTTTTATCATATGGGGCTCTGGGGTGGAACCTAAGTCTTTATTAAACTTGGGCCATACTCCTCAAAGAGAAGATTGCACTATATAATCGAGTTAAAGAATCTAATCAATTGGATTCTCTCTTGTTAATTGAGGTTTTCCTATTTTTTGAGTTATGTGCAAATGGCTCTTTATATGGGGTATAATCCAATGCACCAGCATTTGCAGAGGCAAGCCCTGATTCTGATGCCCTCACTGTTACATGGGGACTTTGGGCTCATTCTGTAATATTCTTAACTTCTGCCTAACGGTCTCTAATTAATTTTGCGGATGAAGCTCTTGCAGCGGATTCATTGAAGGCAAGTTGAGTTAAAGACTCTTCCTCTTCCTTCTTTCGCCATCATTTGCTCTCCCTTTCCCCCTCTCTTGTTTTTCTCTCCCCTTCTCTTCTCTCATTCACTGTCAGGAAAGACTACCTTTGAAGGGACAATTCTGTACCGAGCTGCACCAGGAAAGACGGAGGGCCACAGACGCTATTACAGTGAGTGACCTTAACAGCAGGAGGCGATTGTAAAGATAAGCTCCGAGCCCTTGTGTTTTTGATGCAGCTGTGCTTTTCTGAGCTGCTAATGCTTATGCCAAGTGTCTGTGTGAACTTCTGACCCAAGGATATGTCCTTATTTGTCTCAGATAAGTGCCATCTCCTTGGTGTTGCTACGGGAGCATTCTCACCACCAGTCCCTGGTGCTTCTTGTTTGCTTTGTGGCTCTATCATGTATGTGACATGCGTGCATGAACCATGCGTGCAGAGAAGGGGACAGTAGCATTTGCCATGGCATATGCATTTGTACCAGTATTTTGGGGCTTCGGCGGGGTGGGGTGTAAGATGGCTTGCCATGGAGATGCCAGCCTCTCGTGATTATTGCCTTTTCTGATTAGATCATTGGAAGCACATAAGCCATTTATTCATTGCATTGTTCAAAGGAATAAGAATCTGGCATGGAAGTCCATGCCAGAAATGGTGTTTGGCTTTGCTCACCCAGCCAATCACCACACAGCAGGACCAACGTGTAGCCTTTTGTGCTGTGAAAGAAAGCTGCCAAATGTTGAGGGGAATGAGATGGATGAGACTCTGAATTAGCCTTGCGAAACCCCTAGAGCAGTCCCTGCCACCTAGTAAGCACTGTACATGTGTGTGCCAAGTGACAAACAAACAGATAAAAGTGGCTCACCGATCCAAATCAGTCAGTGCTGGAATAGTACATTAAATCACACGAAAGTGGACAGTTGTACAACTGATGATAGCAAATTGGAGGAGGCTTTGTTGATTTTTCACCTTGAAAGAAAACCATCCGCTTTACTGTATTCATATATACATGATACAAGAGAAGGTTCTATACTTCTCAAACTTCTTATGGTAAAGTTTATTTCCATCTCATTGTGAACAGAGACGTGGTCCTTCTGCACATAATTGCTACACAGGCAGCACTCCGCCTGTACCTCATGCAGGAGCTTGACAGTACCTTGACTGGTCTGTGCTCTGTCCCCAAGACGAGTCACTGGCTGTATGTCCAGAAGTCTCACCAATGCACATTGCTATAAACCTTTCTAAACACTTACCTCACTGTGTCCCTGTAACAAACTTTTTGTGGGCCGGCCCCAGTCCACAGACCATGCTCTGGGTTGTACTGCATGGGAATGTCATCTGGCATTCTGCATGACATGGGGACATTTTATGGGATAGTGTATGTGATAGGCACCAGCGGCTAAAAGATGTAGCACCAAACAGATACAAAGATCAAAAAACACTCTTCTTTCCTTCCAAACAGAAGGAACTACATTTGGAGTTATTTCCCTAAGCCATGTACTCAGCTATTTAATTACATATTTAAAAGTGATCTAACCAGGCTGCCAGAATTTCCAGAAGAAAAATCTGTATGTTTCCTTCCAAGGTCATGCTTGTGTGGTTGAATGCCTATGCAACCTCTCCCAGTGTAATATAAAGAGTGCTTCTCACAGTGATTCATGTGAAGTTACGATGGGCCCAGAAGGCAGCTACCACCTAGAAACAGAAGCTTAGTGAAAACTAGGATGGCAGTGAATGGAAATGTTATGGTTCTAGCTAATGAGAAATGAGAGAAGAACCCTTCACCTTACTCTCTTGAAGAACTGAAGCTCCGCGCCCTGATCCATTTGCCCTGCTGCCTTGTGGTGGTGGTGGTGGTGTATGTGGGGCTGGGGGGTTACAGCGTGCCTATGGTTCCTTTCCACTAACCACTTCTTGATTCCACTCTCAGATGGTTCTTTCCAAAGCAGAAAAGAATATCCAAGCCGTTTGTCACATAGAAAGAATCCATACAGCAAAATGAAAACATGTTAAAGGGGAAATGACACAACATTTAGACTCCAAAATTACACCTCCAGTAGGGATATTTCCAAAAACAATGAACAAATAAGCACACAGGAGGATAAGGAATCCAGAGCACACTCTGTGTTTGCACACTCACGGCCGGTCTCGCAAATTGCAGCCGTGCCCCGGTTGCATGGTGCCCTCTGTCCTTACGATGCTGTTCTTTAGTTAATTAGCACGTACAGTAAGGATCATTCCCCCTCCCCACCGTTTGGCTTGTAAAAATCATTTTATTGAAAACAGCAATAAACAAAACCATTGTTTTAAGGGTTTGATTGCTGAAAGTTGTTAGCAATTTATAATGATCTTTCTGTATTTTGTCTGTTTTCGTTTAACAGTTTCTTCCTGCACTGAGACTTCCTTAATTGAATGACTTCAACATTTTATGACATTTTATGCAAGCGGTTATTTGGTGTATCATTCTCCTGTGCTAGGAGGCCTCCTTACCCATACGAGACAAGTGCACTCCTGGCTAATAGAGAGCAAACTTTGATGGCGTGCTTTCATCCCTGAGGCATCGTTATCATGTGGAGATGTGCAGGAAATGCTTGGGAGCTGTCCTGCTTGTCAGGAGGCTTTAAGAGTCAGGTTTAATGACAGAATTTAGTTTCCCATAAACTATCCTTTGAGTCCTGCCCTTTGATGGTGTAACCGATATATTGACCATCCTAGGAAAAATGTACACTCAGACATGAACTGGACCCCAGTAGGCTCTTTCAGGAACATGATTGTGGGCAAAGATTGGGCAGAAAGGAATCTGGGGAGGTAAGTGTCCTGCTGTCTTGCTGGTTGCTGTTTGATTTCAACACAGACCACAAGAGGTCAAAGGAAGGGTGTCATGTCCTCAGTGTTCTTCTTTGGGAAAGGGATTCAGTTTTGAGGAAAATGATGGTCTTAAGTAGGCAGAAGAGTTGCGGAGGGGGGTGCTGACCTCTGGCTTCCTTTCCCTCTTTAACAAACAGGATCATCTTGCTAGTGAATGAACCCTTCTTAATGTCCGGTTTAGTTTAATGCCTTCCTAGAGGAACACGTCTGCATGCATTTATTCCTTGTGAAGCCATCCAAAGAGATTTAATTCTTTGGCAGTCATAATTTTGTGTGGTTTCTTTAATTGCTAATTTGTTTAAATAGCTTTTAGCTTTAGTTTCCCTTTAGGAAATGTTACTTTCCTTGCTAATTGCTAATTGACATGAGTCATAGAGATTGGAGGTACAGTATTTGGTGTACTGCCTGGACCAGGAGGGGAGGAGGCAAGGTGCAGGGGGCAGCGGGGGGTGGTGGTGAAAGGGTTGTTATCACACAGACTGTGGCAAAACGAACATGGATCAGAGCAAGGCTTCAGCTGAAGAGAGGTGAAATCAAAGAAATTACTTTGAAGTTAGATTTCCTGAAAAGTTGTTTTTATTCACTTCTTAAAAGGGCTACATAGT